GCCCTCTCTTCCCACAGTTCGAGCACACTAGAGTTTCTTAATTCAGCATTTCTTGCTTAGGTGGCCTCTCTTCCCACAGTTCGAGCACTAGAGTTAGAGTTTCTTGGTGACCTCTCAGTCTTCCCACCACTAGAGTTTCTTAATTCAGCATTTCTTGTAGGTGGCCTCTCTTCCCACAGTTCGAGCACTAGAGTTAGAGTTTCTTGGTGACCTCTCAGTCTTCCCACCACTAGAGTTTCTTAATTCAGCATTTCTTGTAGGTGGCCTCTCTTCCCACAGTTCGAGCACTAGAGTTTCTTAATTCAGCATTTCTTGCTTAGGTGGCCTCTCTTCCCACAGTTCGTAATTCAGCATTTCTTGCTTAGGTGGCCTCTCTTCCCACCACTAGAGTTTCAGGTGGCCCTCTCTTCCCACAGTTCGAGCACACTAGAGTTTCGTAATTCAGCATTTCTTGCTTAGGTGGCCTCTCTTCCCACAGTTCGAGCACTAGAGTTTCTTAATTCAGCATTTCTTGCTTAGGTCTTTCTTGCTTAGGTGGCCCCACAGTTCGAGCACTAGTTCTCTTGGTCTCTCTTCCCACAGTTCGAGCACTAGAGTTTCTTAATTCAGTATTTCTTGCTTAGGTCTTTCTTGCTTAGGTGGCCCCACAGTTCGAGCACTAGTTCTCTTGTGGCCTCTCTTCCCACAGTTCGGTGACCTCTCAGTCTTCCCACCACTAGAGTTTCAGGTGGCCCTCTCTTCCCACAGTTCGAGCACACTAGAGTTTCTTAATTCAGCATTTCTTGCTTAGGTGGCCCTCTCTTCCCACAGTTCGAGCACACTAGAGTTTCTTGATTCAGCATTTCTTGCTTAGGTGCCCTCTCTTCCCACAGTTCGAGCACACTAGAGTTTCTTGATTCAGCATTTCTTGCTTAGGTGGCCTCTCTTCCCACAGTTCGAGCACTAGAGTTAGAGTTTCTTGGTGACCTCTCAGTCTTCCCACCACTAGAGTTTCTTAATTCAGCATTTCTTGCTTAGGTGGCCTCTCTTCCCACAGTTCGAGCACTAGAGTTAGAGTTTCTTGGTGACCTCTCAGTCTTCCCACCACTAGAGTTTCTTAATTCAGCATTTCTTGCTTAGGTGGCCTCTCTTCCCACAGTTCGAGCACTAGAGTTTCTTCCCACCACTAGAGTTTCTTAATTCGGCATTTCTTGCTTAGGTGGCCTCTCTTCCCACAGTTTTCGAGCACTAGAGTTTCTTCCCACCACTAGAGTTTCTTAATTCAGCATTTCTTGCTTAGGTGGCCTCTCTTCCCACAGTTCGAGCACACTAGAGTTTCTTAATTCAGCATTTCTTGCTTAGGTGGCCTCTCTTCCCACAGTTCGAGCACTAGAGTTTCTTAATTCAGCATTTCTTGCTTAGGTGGCCCTCTCTTCCCACAGTTCGAGCACTAGAGTTAGAGTTTCTTGGTGACCTCTCAGTCTTCCCACCACTAGAGTTTCTTAATTCAGCATTTCTTGCTTAGGTGGCCTCTCTTGTGGCCTCTCTTCCCACAGTTCGAGCACTAGAGTTTCTTAATTCAGCATTTCTTGTAGGTGGCCTCTCTTCCCACAGTTTCTTAATTCAGCATTTCTTGTAGGTGGCCTCTCTTCCCACAGTTTCTTAATTCAGCATTTCTTGCTTAGGTGGCCCTCTCTTCCCACAGTTCGAGCACTAGAGTTAGAGTTTCTTGGTGACCTCTCAGTCTTCCCACCACTAGAGTTTCTTAATTCAGCATTTCTTG